GAGCAGGACGACAGGAGGCCTCAACCCCATCCCAGCATGCTGAGCGAATGACCCCCAATGAGGTCAGCCCTGTACCTGTGAAGGCAGTGATGGCTGGAGCCAGCGTTCTCGTCCTGGGTTTGCTTTTCCAATTATAAAAGTGACACCCTGGCTCTAGCTAGGGGATCGCCACAAAGGCGAGACACGCACTGCCTCTGCTGCTGTGCCAGGCAACTGCTGCTGGACACTCAAGCCTGGACCTGCTGCCAGCTAAGTCTACATGTCGCAGCTCCATCTACAGGGGCAGGGTGGGTGAGGGCTGCTGGGTGAGCAGCACTGGGCACCTGGATGGACCAGAGGGGCCAGCGCAGGCCCAGAAATAGCATGGGGCAGGCAGACTCGCCCTGTGGGCCTTCCTCCTTGGCTCCCGGGAAGACGACTCCCGCTGAGGCAGAAGAGCCTGGCGTTTCAAGCTGGCGCTCGAGTCAAGCACGCAGGAAGAGGAGCCAGAGCCACGCGAGGTTCCAGTCGGGGTGGGAAGCAGGCACAGGTGTGGCAGGCTGGTGCACACACGAGTGTGATGAGGGAGGGGTGCCAGCCTGGATAAGGCGGACCCGCAGAACCTGCAGACGCTGCCCCTGGGGCCCACTCCAGGAGGACCACCGGCCCAGGAGCCCCAGGAGGGTGGTGACGCTCGGCAGCCCTCCCTCTTGGAGGCGGCTTGTGGCAAGTGCACCTCCCTGAGGATGTTGTGTGCACCTGGCCTCCAGACTCACCCCACCCAGATGGAAGGGGTGYGTGAGAGCCAGCCCTCCTCTCGGTGGGTCCCGAGTCCAGGGAGCCAACGTGTCCCAGACCCAAAGGGCTGAGGAACACCCTGCACCTGTCTGTGTTCCCTTGCGGTTACCTGACCACACAGAGTGACTCCCTGCACAGCATCTACCTGTGCTAACACGGTGGTCAGCCATCGGAAGGGATTCACAGTCACTTACAGAGGCAGATCACCTACACGGACACTGGCTCACACACCTGGGGAGGTAAGGAGACCCCAACCTCCTGCTGCAAGTTGTAGGTCCAGGAAGGCCAAGGCAGGAGCTGGCAGCAGCCCCTGCTCCTCAGGTGCGCCCTCCACCCCTCCTCCGCCTTTCTGTCCCAGCCAGGCCCCTAGCGCACTGCATGCTGCCAGCTAAGTCTACATGTCTGGCTGCAGGAGTCGGTTCTTGCCACAGTCTAACTCAGCGGCCCGTGGGAGCAGACAGCAATGTGTCCCACACTGGGGTCCACCTGCCAGGGTACCTGCCAGCTCTGCTCTCTGTAGGCCAAGCCCAGGAGCTGCAGCTGCCATTACAGTGGATACTCCACCTCCCCAGCCATCAGGACGGACAGCCAGCCACAGGCAGCCCAAGTGTGGGAGGGGAGACAGAGGTGGAGACAGCAGGTGCACCAATGAGCAGGCTAAACGCTTCCCTGGGACATGACCAAGTCACCCCACACTCGTGCTCGGTGACACCCGGCCCAGAGTACCGTGTTGGGAGGGCCCAGAGCAGGCGTCGGGGTGTGCTGCAGCCTCCACCCCTGCCTGGCTGCTCCAGCAGATGGGAAGCGGTCCAGGAGGGAAACCCGTGAGCACCCGAGTCGGCTCTGCCCATAAGCTGCAGCTGTTTCATGTGGTTCCAACTACCTGGTGCATTACCCAGGATTCCAGAGACCCATCAGCAAAGGACAACTCTCCTGTCTCCACCTGAATCGGTTCCAACGTCAGGTCCTCTGCCAGAGAGCTAAAGGCACACACGCACAAGCACGCATGCACACGCACACGCACCTTCAAAGGAACTGCCCCTCCCCAGCTCCCAGCAAGCAGCATCCTGGGTCAGTGCTGTCGGCGAGCTGCACAGGCACAGGCACGGGTGAACTGAACCTGCCRGGAGGCCCAGGTGCCCCCAGGGCAGAGGCTCTACCACCCCACACAGGGCAGCTCCCCTTTGGACAGGCTTGGGTGGAGCAGCACTAGGGACTCATTGCTGACTGCTGCTGACAAGCCTCAGGGACGCTGGTGCCGTCCATCAGTCACAACGCTCCTGACTCCTACCCAAACACTCATGCCCACTGCCCCCTGGGTGGCCAACAGGAGGGCTCTGAGAAAAGAGCCAGCTGTCCCCTCCCAGCTGACCAGGGCAGAAAGGGCACAGGTTCTCTGACCCTGGTGATCACTATGCAGGACCGGATGTTTCTGCCTTCAGACCCGTTTCTCAGGTTAGACACCAAAGGCCCAGAGAGCCAACAGCCCAGGGGCACCAGCAAGAGGCTACATCAGGCCTCTGCCCACTGCAGCAGGACCAGGAAGTGCACCTGTCCTTCCTTCTGTCTTGACACCCCAAGCAGGTCCACCTCACGCCCATCTCTGTAGCCCTGCAGGACAGACCTGAAGTGTTCTGTGCGGCTTCCAGGGCCGCAGGGCACTCACTGGGCCAGGTCACAAGCCACGTGCTCCTCAGGCACCAGGCTCGGCTAAAGGCAGACCTGGGGCTCCCCAGCTCTGGATGCAACCCTTAGTTGAAGCCCTGCCTCACCCAGACCAATGCCAGCTGGGCAGCGGCAAGTGGGGCCACTCAGTGCAGGGCCTGTGCCAGCCAGCACTTGTAGCACACTAGCTTGCCAGGCACAGGTCAGTGGCTGGCGCAGCAGCACCCTCAGAAGTGTAGCAGCAGGTGCCATGCCCCGATGCTGACCAGTCCGCTCCACTTGCCCAGGTGGACCCTGTGGTTTACAGCCCACCTTTCCAGGTACCCAACCCCCAGGACAGCCCACCCTCCCATTCACTGCCTCCACCCTGCATGGATCCCCCAGGGAGAGGGGAATACAGCCCAGAGACAAAGCTCAGCACTGGCCTGGCCAAGGGGAACGTGCGACGCTTGCCCTCATCTCCATCCTGAATCTGAGGCTCAAGGAAAAGAGCTTTAAAGAGAACCACCTGGTAGAATCGAATGTTCTGAGTCCCCAGACTGCACACAGGAGACATCCACTTCTGGGGCTGGTGAAGGGTGCCCACAGCACAGAGCAGCCCATGTTCTGTGCTCAGTCCTGTCCTTCAGCCATCACAGGACAGAGGATGCCACATGGGAGCCCACATGAAGCCCAGCCTGTGTCTCGTGACTCTGTGTGCACCCTGCTTCTGCCTCTGGAAAGCCAGCTCCCGCAGGAGCAGTAGCAAAGCTACTCACAGGAAGAGACAGCCCAGGCCACAGGGCTGCCGCTGGCAGGCGGCTCAGTCCCCATCCCCAAGCACCAGCCCTGCTCCTGCCTCAGCACAGGGCTGGTATGGCTACTCTGTGGCCCAGACAAGAGGTTTGTGGAGCTGAGTAAGTGCTGGCAGCAGGGCCCAAGGGGGAGACACCAGACTCGGGTGATCAGAACCCCTCGTGAGGCAAGCTTTCTCCAGCAGTGGTAGAAGGGCCCAGGAGCTGAGGTGAGCACTGGGTGTGGAGTTCTCAGCCAGCAGGTGGCTGGTGGCAGGAGCTAGTCTCCGAGGATGGATCTGGTCTGGACTGCACAAGGGGTGCAGAGCTGGGTGAGTAAGTCCATACAGAAGCAGGTGAGGCGGAAATGCCCACATTCCCTTGGCCCTGGGGGCCTTCTGACTCCAGAGGGCCCTGGATGTAGGCTGGCAAGTGTGGGAAGGGAGGCATATGGCCTTCYGAGGGGGTATGACTTCCTGTGGCTCAGGGAAGAGGCCTGTGACGCCAGGGGAGGGGCAGCAAGGAACATGGACCCCCACAGGGTCATCTCTTGTCCTGGACACAGGTTAGCCAGCATGACAGAACCACATGGCCATGGGCACAGGGTCCTGGGACAGAGGTGGGGTCATGAGATCCTGGCAGGAGGGGCACAGGCTGCAGGCAGCTGAGTGGCTCAGCAGCAGAGGGACCTTACCTCTGCAGGACGGTGCACACTGGTCCCCTTGGTACAGCCCTGCCTGTTATGGGGGACACAACCCATGTCCAACACCACTCACCTCTGACAGGATCACCACCCCGCAGGTGAGGGTCCCGGAGGCGGACCAGGGATGCCCCCACTCTCCAGGCCACTAGGGCCAGCCCCAGCTACACCTCACACCTGGGCTGCTCTTGTCTCTCCATTCCCTCCAGGCAGGCATCCTGAACCAACCCCACCCTGTGGCGTGCCAGCCAGGCCCCTCCCAGCAGTCTACCCGGCTTCCCCAGCTGCACATGGGCTTGGGCAGCTGCGGGGCCCCATGCACCCACGGCAGGGCAGCTGTGAGCCACAGCCAGGGGAGCAGGAGCCGCCGCTGCCCAGGGCCAGACTGGGGCTCAAGTGGTGAGTGCGAGCTACCCATCCCCAGAAAGGTGCAAAGCCCCCCACACCCAGAAGCTGCAACCCTGGCACTCCCACTGCCACCCAGCAGCACTCTCCCAGGAACCAGACGGGCATAACCGAGAGTGACACAGGACCAAGACATACCAGGCCACTGCAGAAAACCAGAGCAGCACATTAAACATGGTTTAGACACACTCCACTGCAGTGCTGGGCCATCCACACACCCTGCTGCAGTCTGCTAGAGACCATACCCTTGTACAACTGCTGCCTACACCCACTATTCGGAAATGCAAAATCCAGTTCCGACTCCTGTATCCTGTCACAGACCCCAAGCAAGAACTCTGGGGGCTCCAGAGGGACAACACAGAGAATGGAGGAGTGGACACCAGACATAAGATGTAAAGCAAATGCAATTTCCCAGGGCTGAGCCAAGTCGGCAGCAGAGCACCCCTGCACTGGGCGACGCCTGCAGTCGGGCTGTGCACTGCCCTGGGGAACCGCAGCTGCCAGGGGTCCAGCCAGCTCCGCGGTAAGCAACCCGGGCCTGGGCTCCCATCCAAGTAGACAGAATGACACGAAGAAAACCACACTGTGGAAGAAGGGGAAATATAGAACTTTATTTTTTAACATAGTAGTTCAATCCCACCACAAAAAAAAGGGACACCGTTTTGTTTTTCATTTTTCACTTTTTTCATTCAATAAATACAAATTAATAAAAATACTATGTTTTGTAAAGAGACTGCCACTCCTCCCCACCTCCCATGGACACCTACAGGTGACTGTGTCCCCGTGGTCTTGAAGCAGGCCAGCAGCCTCCCACAAGGCCACCACTTCCTACTCCAGGAGCTGCATCTTGCTCATGCCTGCAAACACTATGCAGCACCCTGCCTCCACCCTTCCRAACTCAAGTCCTCCTACAGAATTTCAGACATTTAATGTTTAATCATTAAACGTTTCTGAGAAGGAACAAAACTGGCCTCCACAGAAGCTCAACAAGGAGGCGCTGCACTGGGAATTGTTAACACCATGAAAAGTGAGTTTTGGTGAGAGACGGGCACACTCGCGAAGGGAAGTAAAGAGGCTAGTGTGAAGGGAGATCTGTTGCATGTCACACCGGCCATCTCCTACTTTAAAAAACAGACTCCTGGGGAAACGCAACCTGTTTGGAGCAGGCCAGACACCGGCGTCCCCACACAACAGATCTGTGTGTTATTGCTTGTGGTGTCCCCTCCAGGTACTGTGCTGCTCAGCTCTCTGCTGTCAGAGACACCTAGGCAGCATCAAAGTCACAGACTGCCAAGCTGTGCTCCCTCCACCTGGGGCTGGAGCTGCAGCCCAGGTCCATTTTTCGGGGGAAAGGCACACCTCTGCACTCTGTGCCAACTAATAGTAGAGTCCCATCTGACCTCAAGGGCAAAGAATAGTCCTGGCACAACCACACCATGGTGCAGAGCCCTGGAGTGACCCAGCTTTTAGTCTAGAAAAGAAAAACTCCTGCAGGACTCAGGAGAAAACGTCAGTAAAACTTCGAAGACCTCCCCTTGCCTGCTCTGGCAGTGCATAAGCAATGGCGACAGAATGCTAGTCTCCTAAAACTGCAAGCAGGAAAGCCTCTGGTCTTCATGGCCAGCAATAATCTTCTGTTCTGTGTCCCCATTTCTCACTGACTGTTTGCAAAGCATCCCCAGAAATCTTTCTAAGTGTGATTGTAATGCACAACAAATGAAGAGGCTCTACCTAGGCTGTTACAACCTCTGCTTGTAGAACACAGATGAGACGTCATGGACGCCTCACAAGGCATGTGGAACTGGGGGTGGGGTACAAAGTGTGCCAGCCCCTTCCCCACGGTTGCCACAGGCCCCATGCCTTTGCACAAGGCAGGTGATCTGCCCGGACCCTCAGTGCCGGGGCAGGTGCGGGAGRGAATGTAGACTGAGGGCGGCTGGGAGGTACGACAGCCTGGTGCCCTTCCTGAACCCCCCATGGGGAGGAGCACTTGGAAAACGCAAAGCTGTCCTTACACTATGCAGGTCATGCTCCAGAAGAGCAGCCTGTTTGGGGTGGAAAGGTTAAGAAACAAGAAGTGCTGTGGTTCTGCAAGCTTGCCTGTTTTGGTGGCAGCACTGTCACTGAGTGTCCTGAGGGCAGCACTGGAACTACGCTGTGCCGTCCTGCTGTCCTGCCATCCGCAAAAGCACAGCCTCAGAGCCCCAGAGACTTCTGCACGATCTGCCTGGCAATCCTGTAAAACTGCTCCCGGTCGTCCCGCCACATCTTGGAAGCATCCACATTAGCTCCACTTTCATCGTTGGGCTCTGAAAGAAAAAGGAGACCGTCACTGCGCACAGGAGCAGAAGCCACGATGTCACCTGAAAACGCGGGGCCCCTGAGAGAAGGTCTATGGCTTCAGCAAGGGCCCTGGCACCTGAAGGAGGCTGAGAACTGCTCAGGAGCAACCTGCCTGGCCTGGAGGCACATGACTCCCACACCAGCCCCTGGGATCGACAGCTCCCACCACCAGTGTCTGGGAGGTCCCTTTAGAGGGACAGGGGCCCTTATCCCACACACCCCAAATTCTCCTCCTGCCAGAATCCTACCCCCTCTCTATTCCTGACTGAGATGGTACAATACCCACGTTCACACTGGAAACAAGTCTGTGCACGCCCCTGAGACCAAGCCCAAAGCCCGCACAGCCAGGCCCTCTTGAGGCCACCTGCCCTCCGGAGACCACTGAGGGCTGCGAAGACCCCCAACCCACTCGGCTCTGCTCCTGATCCAGCACATCATCTGCCAGCCGCTGTAGGCATATCTTTTTAAGGCACCTCTCTAGGACATGGCACCCACTGCCATTCCCAGAGCTGCTAGCCACCCTGCTCACTTCTGCAGGGCCCCTCCCTCCCCAGCCTTGGCTCCCACCACCRGCTGATAGTGTCCCACCACCTCCAGCCTCAGCCCGGCTGCTTCCTCGGCCCCAAACACTTTCCCTCCCTCCTTCCTCATCTTGGGAAGTGGTCCAAAAGCCCCAGCGTGCATCTGCTTATCAGGATTTGCCACGTTAGCCCGTAACTGTGGGTTGAAGAAGTTGCCCTAGGATATGGGACCTTGAAGCTGGGTCTCTGACACACTGAGCTCCGCAGACCCAGTGCAGCGTGACACACACGAGAACCCCAGTAAATGCACACTGAGAACAAGACACCCCAGGTGTAGAGGATGGCTAGTCATGGTCAACACATGCTAAGACACCAGACTGCTTTTAAGACTCACGACGTGGAAAATATGCCCTCAGCTTGAAAAGTGCAGACGAGCTACACTAAGTGTAAAACGCAGGTGCAAACCAACTACCCAGAGCAGGGCAGATTGCTGAGTGTGTGTGAGTGGGCTCCCAGGAAGACGGCGCCCGCACAGGCCCATGGCACGGTGTCTTACCTGCCAGCATGCTCACCACTGACAACAGGATCTTTTCCACACTCTGCACGGGGCTCCACCTCTCAGCACTGCTCTCGTAGCCCATGGGGTCATCGCCTGGCGCGTGAAGGATGGAGATACAGACTCTGCCATCTGGGTAGACTGCAAGGGGCAGGATGGCAGGTGAGCGCAGGGAGCAGCGACTGAGGGGGCGCTGAATGAGGCGGGCTCGTGGGTACAGAGGGCAGGGCTGCGGACACACACAGCACCACATGTACAGCTAGAGGGCACAGGGCCTGAGAGCCAGGGGCTGGGCCTCCCAAGGCCCTGTTGTTTGCTGACGGAGCTCCGGGCCAGCCAGCCTGCCTAACCAGCCACAGCAGGAGCCTACTTTCTTAGGATGTCCTTAGGAATGCTCTTCAAGAGGAGTGAGCGAGAGGCAATCTGCTATGTATTTCACCAACATATCGAACATGATTACTCACAATACTCTTGAGAGCCAGTTTCATGGACATTCCTAATTTTACCAGGAAATCCCTGGATGTGACCATAAAATACACACTCATGTGGCTAGGATAAAGGAACTGGGATTACTTAAGTACCCAGAAAAAGAACAGCACTGCAGTAACTCCTTCTAATATTAAGGAACTACATCGCTGACTTTTGTTCAAGAAGGGTCTGAAAAACACGGTGCACACTGGTTCTGGACCCCAGGATGACCACCTGTAGTCCACAAACATAGTATCTGGATACAGAACCTCTCTCGCCACAGTAGAAGGACCACAGACATCAGAAGTTTTCAACCCCGACGTCAACTCCTCATGTCACGTGGCAACACTGCACCCCAGAAAGACCAAAACTCAAGTGTCCCCCACCAGTGCTCGCTCACTCAGTCCTATCAGGCACAGTCTTCAAGTCTCTTGTGAATCTGCCAAGTCTCTACAGCTTCAATGCCAAGCTGCTGGCTACCCTCCCCCTCCCCTGCAGGGACAAGGCCCGGGCTCCTCCCAGGCGCCATCTACACTACCAGAGTAGCCCTCTGGGTGTCACTACATAGGTCACGCTCCCTCCCTCCAATGGCCCTAGGATAAGCCTCTACTTTCACACCACAGGCAGGCCCTGGCTCAGCCTGCCTTCCTGCCCTTGCTCGGGTCTACCTTTGACCCTGTGCCCCCACATCAGACCCACCCGGGTGGCTGGCAACTTCTGCTTCACGCCCACAGGTGGTCAGCTCACACCTGCACGGTGCCAGGCCCTTCCTTTGTGGCTCAGTGCTCAACAGTGACTCCCCCACATCAGGGCTGACTCCACTTGGGCTGTCACTCACCATGACACCCAGCAACTCTACAAATGTGCAGCATTATTATTTTGGGGGAGAGTAGTGAGAGGCAACTGGGGATTTAACCTAGGGGCATTTTACCACTGAGCCTTTTTTTTATCAGTCTTTTTATTTTTTGAGACAGGGTCTCACTAAGTTGCTGAGGCTGGCCTTAAACTTGCAATTTTCCTGACTCAGCCTCCTAAACTGCTAAAGTTATAGGCATGCGCCACCATGTTGAGCTTGAATTATTTCTTACAGTTTTTACTAAATGACCAGTCTTAATATATATATGGACCTATAGAAAAGTTCTCAAAAATTACTTTTGCAAAATAAAAATGTCCATTTTATGGTAAGTCAAAATTTAAAAGATGTTTATTGTGGCAGAGTACCTGACTAGCATGCCCAAGGCCCTGGGGTCAGTCCCCAGCACTGCGAACAGCAGCGATGTGATGCTAGGAACTCCTCCTGGGGAGTTCTTTCAGAGTGGCATGGACCAAAACTACTTCCAGCAGTACTCACTGTTGGGATGGAACATCTCGCAGGTGAACCTCATCTTGGGAGGACTCAGTGGGTAGTCAAGTGGGAAACTCAAGATGGCAGGAAAAACACCAAACTCAAAACAGGTATCTTCGGGGCCCCTGGAAGAAAGGAACCATAAACAGAACCTCAAAGTATACTTCACAATGGCTACCACACTTGAGAAGTGAGAGAAGGACGGGTTTCCATCCACAAGTGCCTAGGAAGAGAAGATGGAGGAACTGCTCTTTTCTTTGGGTAGCCAGTGTGTCCCAGGATCCCATTCAGCTGACGGAACCTGAGGGTGAGTACCCAGACAGAGTGCAGCCTCCTTTATATGAGGAAGGCAGCCGCCAGGCAGCACAGCCTCACCACGGGCCCRGAAGAGAACCAACACCAGCGCTGCAGGGCCTAGGGACCCTGCTCCTGAGCAGGAGGCACAAGGTTACTGAAGGACCAAGTGCAGTCACAGCAGATGCCAAGCAGGCATCCACAGCACTCCCACGAGGGTGAAGAGTCATGTTTTAAAAGCTATTTCTATTTTTAAAAGTTTAAACAAGCCTAAGGAGTGGTTTTTTTCTAACAGAGCAGGTGTGTGATCCCATGTGTACCCAGGGCAACAGGCCAGGCCTTGGGTGCACAGCAAGACCACCTGACCTTTAGCCCCGGCCCCCACCAACACACCCCGCCAACACACCCCACCCCCATGGGGCCGTGCTCCTCACACGTCATGGCAGAAACACACCAAGCCATTTCAGAAGTCTGTTCACATCCTGACGTCCTCTCACCTTGGTGGAGGTCTGGAGGCAGCAGGAGAGGGAGTGGCAGGAGCCAGCCTGCAGCTGATGTCCATCTTATGGACTGATCAAGCCTGCCAAGAGCAGTTTCAGGAGGCCTTGGACCGGCTGGGTCATGTGATCCAACCCACCGCCACCAACATGGAAATCCAAGGAATTGCCTCATGAGCACCCAGCACGTGGACAACTAAGGATGAGGCCCTCGCCCACAGCCTGCTTCCTGGTCGCAGGTGCGAGGCAGAAAAAACCCCAGCAGGGTCCAAGACCTGGATTCCAGGGAGGGGTCACCCCCAGACCTGCCTTCTCCCAGCTGAATCCAGGCACGGAACAGGGGAGAGGAGCTCTAAATTAGCATTCCTCCAACAGAACTCTCAGCAGTACAAACCTGTTCAAAACCAACAGAATTATTTTGCTCCAGGTCTTCGAGACATGAGAGGCAATATTACTTCTACAATTAAGGAAAAAAGACAGAAAGAACTGTAATTTCATCTGATGGTGACACTCAGGGCCTTAGGAGAACAATGCACTGCTTTGTGGAGCCATTTTTTTCAAGCTAAGAGACAAACCTTGCCTCTGAAAATTGTCCTGCTACTTTTTCAGGAAAAAAAAAAAGAGCTCCTTTGTTTGGAGGAGTGACTGCACGACAGCCTTCGGGAGCCTTGGCACGAGGCCAGGGCATGGCCACCACACCAAGAGGGGCAGGCCTGAGTCTGGCTACTGGCACAGCAGCAGCGTGTCACAGGGCTGGGCACAGCCACTCCCAGCGGGCCTGACAGGCCAGAAGCAGCCAAGAGCGGCCAGGAGCTGCTGGGAGCCACCACCAGCGAGGGTCATGCTGCTCTTCCTACCAGGCCTCAAGAGACACCTGCAGGGCACCCCCCTCCTGAGGTAGGGACAGACATGCTCAGGAGCATGCAGCCATCCCCAGCACCTCATCCAGCACCAGGGCGCGCAGCACACACACACACGACGGCTGGAAGAAAGGGGCACGACTGCTGCTTTCGTCTGACTGCCAAGCAATGGGGAACCCAAGGACTGCAGGACTGAGTCCAGGTCCCAAGTCACCTCGGCACTGGCCTCAGGGACAGACCCAGCTCAAAATGCAAGTCAGAAGGTGAGGCAAAGATACAATCTTTAATAGCAACATTGTAACCCATGTCAGGAAGGCCAGCCTGCCTGTGCCTCCTACTTTTGGCACCAGAATCCAGAACAGAAAAATGAATGGGTAGTGCCTTTGGAATGAGCCACGTGGGGTTTGCCCAACACTCTGATAACAGTTCTTTGTTTCTCATAATGGGGCTTTCTTAAAAAAAAAAAAAAAAAAAAATGGGTCACTCCCAGCCTCAGAAGCATGACCAAACATTTCCTGAAGTGCGCCCACACCTTGACTCTCAAAGCTACTTGAAGAACCACAGCTCACAGCTGGTCTGCCCAGGACTTGTCTCGTTCCTAGAATGCCCGGCCTTGGACAAGCACGCAGGTGGGCAGTGTGCGGGCATCCTGCTGACTGGGAGTGCCGAGGACACGACTGGCCAGTCAGGAGACAGAACCAACAGCCTGTGGACAAGTTTTTTTTTTTTTTTTTTTTTTTTAGTTCTCGGCGGACACAACATCCTTGTTTGTATGTGGTGCTGAGGATCGAACCCGGGCCGCACGCATGCCAGGGGAGCGCGCCACCACTTGAGCCACATCCCCAGCCCCCTGTGGACAAGTTTTACTACCGTACTCTGGACACCTTATTTCTGTCACTGAAGACGACCTCAGGGCTGGGGCTGTAGCCAGTGGCAGAGCCCTTGACTCGCACATGTGAGGCACTGGGTTAGATCTTCAGCACCACATAAAAGTAAACAAAATAAAGGCATGCTGTCCACCTACAACTACAAAACAAAACAAAAAAGACAGCCTCGGCTCGAGACCCTTAAGAGAAAAAGAGAATAGGAAGAAAGGAAACAAAACATTTATCCAAAGCAAATGAGTCTACCAATGACTTTTCATCTCCCTGATTAAAAAGACGGTTTAACAAGAGCATTGTAATGTTTTGAACAACCAATTAAAAAAAAAAAAAAAAGACAGTCTAAGTGACCTCAAAGGCCTGCAACAGGGAATTCAGTCACATCAGAGTGAGGTGTCGTAACAGTACTGCATGGCAGAACCCACCTTTCAGGTGAACCAGCCTGAGAAAAGGCAAGGCTGACCRACTGCAGCTCCCACTCCTGCAAGCCAGAGCCTAACTCCCCAGACCCCACCCCAGGCCAGCCCACAGGCGTGGCTCACCTGCCCCGTGAGAATCAAACTCCATGACAAATGTGCTGGGCTTTCACCTCTTGCACAGGGCGGGGTGGGGGGGGGCAGCATGCCTGGGTGGGCATCTGCTTCGAGCACCTTCCCCATCAGTCTGCGTGTGACAGGAGGTTAGGCAGGTATTGGAGGCTGCTGTCTCTCACTCTCACAAAGTGTGTCACAGCGCAGGACAGAACACCTCAGTCACACATACAACATGGTGCTAACATATCAGAGACGGTACCCAGTTGTCACTACTCGGAACCTGAACTGCACCAGTAAGGGACAGACTATGCTCTGCAAGTGGGAACCCTGAGCAACAGAACCACCCCCCCCCCCCCCCCCCCCCCCCCCCCCCCCCCCCCCCCCCCCCCCCCCCCCCCCCCCGCCCCCCCCCCCCCCCCCCCCCCCCCCCCCCCCCCCCCCCCCCCCCGCCCCAAGTGCCCAAGTGGCACCCAGCAGAAGGCCCGCCTCCCTTCAGCCCTGGCTCTGTGGTTCACAAAGACTGTCACCAGGCATCCCCTTTGCCAGTGCCACGGACCGAGGAGGCCACACACAAGTGCACTGGGCCTGCCTGCTGACCCAGCCAGGGCTAAGGGGTGCTGACTACATGTGGGTGGGAGCCCAGTTGGGAGGCGCCTGCTCCAGATCTTCCCACTGCTGGCTATAGGAAGCTGTGACCTGGGGAAAGGGCCCTCCCACACCTCTGCTGGAGCAGTGCCCTGCATGGATTTGGTCACCCCAGGTGACTTTAGAAAGGAACCAAGCCAAGAACTGTGGGGAGACGAGGAGGGAGCTTTCCCTTTGGAAAACAGTGGTGGYAACGAAGATCGTATCATCCCATACCCTTGTTTTCATGACTAAACCTGTCCAAAAGGAAACACAGCTACACCCTGATTATTTTTTCAGGAATAGAAATTCCTGAAAAACTTTAAAAATATTTAAACTACATTCAAAAGTGCATCAATCWATTACAAGAACTTTATGGTGAATTATAACATAATCACTTTCTAACATAAACCTTATTTATCTAGGAAAAATATGTAAGTCTTGGAAAATATTCAAAYACAGAAGTATATAGACCAAAAAAAGCAAACCCTCTCTCCCCTCCCTGCCCTCCCCCACCTGTACCAAGGAAATGAGGTGACCTGCCCATTCTTCTTTCAGGCTTTCCTTATGTGTAGCTCACTGCCCTTAGCACCAAAACTGGCCCTCTTAAAGGTAAAAAAGGTATCATGGTGTTGCTGAGAATTTAAATGGAAAGACATTCCACCTTCATGTACTGAAGAGCTCAATGTTAAGGTGGCAATATTCCTCAAAGTGATCTAAAGATTCAAGGAAAACACTTRTCAAAATGATCACCTGCGGGTTGGCAGAAACTGACAAGCTGATCCTAGAGCGTGTATGGAAACGCACAACGCCATGAACAGCCTAAATGAACCCGAACAAGAACCCAGCTGGAGGACTTGCATTTCCCAGTTTTAGGACATACTAGTAATCAAGACACTGTGGCACTGGCACAATGAGGGAGCACAGATCAGTGCAACAGAACTCAGAGTCCAAACATAAACCTTGCATTCAAGGCCTGATGACTTTTGATAAGAGGGCCTGATTTGCTCAACAGGAGAGGGCTATCTTTTTAACAAAGGGTGCTAAGAAAACGGACTCCAGGTGCAAAAGAAAAGGCCCCTACCTAACACACACAAAACCAACTCTGAATGGCTCTAACTAAACATCAAGAGCTACAAATCATTAAACTTSTTTAAAAAAAAAAGAAAAAAAACTCTGTGACCTTAGTTATGTATAACAACAAAAGCATGACCCATTAAAAAAAAAACTGCTAAATTGCACGTCATCAAAAGAAACAATTTACTTGTACCCAAAATACATACTCTAATGACTTAATATRAAAAAAATAAAAAAAGCCAGGCATGGTGGCACACACCTGTGATCCTAGTGGCTTGGGAGGATGAGGCAGRAGGATCACAAGTTTGAGGCCAGCCTCATAAACTTAGTGAGGCCCTAGGCAACTTGGTGAGACCCTGTCTCAAATTAAAAAAATAAATAAATAAAAAGGGCTGGGGACATAGTTCAGTGGTTTAGTGCATCTGGGTTTAATCCCTAGAACCAAAAATAAGTAGATAAATATAAGAAAACCAGCTAATTAAAAAATGGGCAGAACTTTTTTTTTTTTTTAAAAGAGAGAGCGAGAGCGAGGAGAGAGAGAGAGAGAGAGAGAGAGAGAGAGAGAGAGAGAGAGAGAGAGAGAATATTTTAATATTTATTTTTTAGTTCTCGGCGGACACAACATCTTTGTTTATATGTGGTGCTGAGGATCGAACCCGGGCCGCACGCATGCCAGGTGAGTGCGCTTCCGCTTGAGCCATATCCCCAGCCAAAAAAAATGGGCAGAACTTCTGAAGTCCATCAAAGGCAACGTATGAGTGGCTACCGAGTCCATGAGAAGACAATGGACCTCCGCAAACACTAGGGAAGGTATGTCAAGTCCACAGGGAAGCAGCGCTCCACATGGCCACACCAGCTCTGGTGAGATCACGCAGTGCTGGGAAGGGGACAGTGGAGGCCCAGGTCCACAGCGTGAGCCATGGTGAGCTGCTCCTGGAACCCCTCGGTGGCTTCTGGAAATCAACCTCCACTGCACATCCCAACAACTGGACACCTACACAGTGAGCGAGAAGAAATGAAACCTCTGGACAAACCAACATACAGTGTCCAGTGAGTGAACAAAACAGAGGTGGAGACAGGAGCCACTGACCGCCATGACCCTGGTGGCCAGTTACACTGTGAGTGAAGCCCCACGGGACATCAGACACCGTATGGCCCCACTCACAGAAGTATCCAGAAAGGTACCACAGTCAGAAGGCAGGCGTGTACATGCCTGAGGCTGCCAGCAGGTAAGAGGGTCTCTCTGGAAAGGCTACAGAACCATCCTGGCGATGGCCGCAAGATTCTAGAAATCTACCCAACTCTGGACGAACACATTTAGTTCAGGTAGAACTTATGGCACAAGAAAGACATCCCCTGAGGCTGCTAGAGAAGATACCAGGACACCAGGGCTTCCGGCCTTGGCACTGCCAGACTTTGGGCCAGACGGCTCTGCTCCAGAGCTGTCCTGGCCCTGTGGGCTGTCTTGATCCACCATTAGATGCTGCAGCAGCGGTCCCCCACCCTAGTGGTGATGGCCAAAAACATCTCTAGACATTGCCAAATGTCCCTCAAGGAATAAAAAAATCAAATAACTGGCGGAGACCCACAAATCTGCGGTCTGCTCTACACACACAAACACACACGCAAACGCACTGCAGGACCCTGCACAGTGCTCAGGGGCATCCCACTGTGGAGAGGTGCCACAGGTTATGCTGGACAGAAATGCTTCCTTTTTGTAATGTCTGCCATGAAGACTGCAAGAAGCCGACTCCTGGGTCTTCTCACACGGACACCAGATGCTCTGCAGTCCAAGTACAAGAAGTGCTAATATAAAAGACAGCCACGGGAATCATGATGTGAGTACCAGAGCAGACCAGGCCCCCTGGCAAGAGAAACAACAGGCTAGGAACATGAGCTCACTGTGCAAGGCAGCTGGAGAACCTGGGCAAAAGCGCCTCCCCACCTGGGCCCCAAATGCAGTGTCAGGAACACAAAGGTAGAGTCAACAGGGACCTCCACCTTTCAGGAAAGGGAAGGTCCTTCCCAAGAGCCTGCTGGCCTAGAGAGGTTGCAGTTGTAAGCCACTGTCGGGAGCTGCCCTGGATGCAGATCTTCAAGTCCTGATGCCGAGGCACTGACTAATTATTGCTTTTAGCCTGGCATGAGAGTGCCAGGTCACAATAAGTTGGGCATTATCCCAGCCTGGACAGCAAGGCGTGGCTCCAGGTGTAGGCGTCACCTGTGAAGGTTGAGCTACACTCACCTGTTCCTTGGTAATCCTACCCCTCTGCCCTTTCTGGGACAGAATTTTCCATGGAACCTCCCCTCGTGCGTTCTCTATATAAGAATAAAAAATTCCGGCAGCTCTCTCTCTCTCTCTCTCTCTCCACAGACCCTTAGGGTTGCAGAGCTGTCTCCGGAATATTGGAAAGGTATTTCTGTGTCTGCGTGCTTTCTTTGTTGTCTTCTTGAGTAACTGGAGTACTTAGATTTTGTGAACCCAGCATTAGGTTGCTACCTAGGAGAGACGGCGATAAGCCATGGCAGGGAGGTCCCCAAAGCTAGCWGCCTCTGGAACACAGAGCAGGATACAACGGGATATGAGAGTCCATGACTTCCACCTTGCCAATCAGGCTCTCTGTTCTACAGAGGTGCTGCACCCCAACAGCTAGGCTTAGTGGCAACAGGGTGGCACCAGCCACAGACCCAGTGGCTGAAGAGACCTCAAGCCATGCAAAGAATCCTGGGCCCATCTTGACCCCAGACACGGCTGGAGAGGTCAAGTGCCCAGTCCCGAGCACAGCTGCAGGGTGCACACTCAGCAGGGCATCGGCCAGCTCTGTGCTCAGCCACCTTCCACTTTTAACTGCAGACACTGCCAGGAACTTTATGACTTGGCCCTCTCTTATCCCTTTAGTTGGTGCTCCCTGCCCRTGCCATCAGCCTATGTGCTGAGGTGAAGATCTGGGTCCATGCTGCATGTACACACAAGGGCCCTGCTGTAAAAGCCCTCAGTCGCATCGCCTGGCCAGCTGAAGAGTGTGGAGGAGCTGCAGGCCTGAAGGCAGGCGTGGGCACAAGCCAGAGGCCTCAGAGCACTAGGTACACAGGAGGCCCTAGAAGCCAGCAAAAAAGAGGGTGAAACGGACCTATCACCCATAGGAAGAGCACAGCCAGTGTCTGCCAAAACAGCAGGTGAGACGAATCACGGAGGACAGTTAACTCCCTTAAGAGATGTTTTAAGTACATCTGTAAACGGCCTCTTGTTTGTGAAGGGTCTGGAACAGGACCAAAACCCACAAACTTAACCAGATCTTCAAGCAGGGGAATTCCACACGAATGCAAAAGCCTTATTCAAACACAAAAACACTCTCCCTAAAAATGGCTCTAATTACTTTTTAAGGCAGGTTTTCAAAATATTAGTTTAATTTTATGTTGTTTATCTAAAATTAGTGGTAGTTACCCTAACAGATTTTAACAATGAACACTTTAAAATCCACACTGGAGGCTCAACTGTTCCCTCACGAGCTTCTGAACATGCCTACCATGGATGCACATAAGCCAGCACCTCCTGAGTGCCACAGAACCTTCAGGTGCCTCTGACCTCTGCACTCCAGCAGGTCTCCCAACAACACACGCACCCTGCGGCAGGCTGGGGGGGGGGGTCTGGGGGGGTGGGGAGGGTGGCGGAAGCTTGTGAATGCTGTGCAGGTGCGTCTGTGTTGACACAGCACATGGCAGATGAAACAAGCAAGTCACACATGGGTTCACACATACACGATCTACGGCTTCTTGAAATGTAAACAGAGCTGACCTGACACGGGCCAGCACCACAGCCCACCAACTGCAGAACAGCACCTGCATGGGCTTGCCACCACCCGTGACTGCCTGGGCAACAGACATGAGAGCAGTTCTCCTTATCTGCAGCCTGTTACCCAAAGTCTGAAAACTTGAAATGGAAAATCCCAGAAACAAACAATTTCTAAGTTTTAAATAATTTTACTACAGACCAGTGTTATAACTGTTCTGTTTACTATTATTATTTTGCCTCACTTATAAACTTAATATGGACATGCACAGGAAAAGGCAGTGTCCATACAGGGTTTGGTACTGTCCACTGGGGTCTTGGCTAGACCCAAGGATGAAGGAAGACGATGCACCACACATCAGTCCCAAACACTTTAACCCATAACCCAAGCAACCAGGGCCTTGCACTACCAGGAAACGTCCGGTCTGCTGCACTGCAGTTTCTAGAGTGTGTTCAGTGACGATCCTTTAAGCCCTCACTTTCACATCGATGCTCCTATCACCTAACCCTCCCGACCACAGCAGCCATCTGCTTCTCAGACGAACACACAGATCCTCAGAAGCAAAGGGACACAGGCAGAAGCTTAACACCCTACCCTACCCACAGCAAGGCTGGTCCAGTAGCTGGCGCTTCCTCCCGCTGGGGCCCAAGTGCTCAACCTATGGGACATGACACAGCCCCAGGCAGATGGTGTTGAAATGAATAAAATTAGAGGGTATCCAGCTATACCCTCAAGAACTGAATGCTCACTGGAGGGGAGAAATACCCATCCTGTCTGGGGTCACTAGAGCCTTCTGTGTTGACTGTAACATGAGAGCAGAGGGAAAAACAAGGCCCGTTGTTTTTCCTGACAGAACCATACTAATATCTCCCAACAACAAACAGGAAGCACTCAGACAACTAAGGTTTCCACCAGTTCCAAGGAAACACCTGGTGCCTTCTGCACGATGCCTGCTGTCTTTGGCCTTCAGGTCAGAGCTGGAGAGGAGCTGACCGTGTGAAACCCACTGGGCCTTCTTGCCTGCCCACTGCTTCAGAGTCGGCGCTCTACAGATTGTAGCACTGAGGTCCAGCTCCCAGGAAGCACCAGACACCAGCAAGACATGGTCAACTTACATGATCAACGCCTCCCATTCAAAAAAATTCTCTTCATTCATGGGACCTGCAGCAGAAGAAAAAAAAGTCCACCACATCTTAATTTTGAAGACAACTCTGGCAATTAGAAGAAAACTATATGAGGAAGTTACTTAAGTACCTTACCTGCCACAATTCCTTCTGGAGGATTCAGGGTTAATTCTATAAAATGAAAAAGCAAAACATTATGAAACATTCTAAAAACCTTTTTTTACAAAGTGTAGGACTGTGAGTTATAGAGAACACATTTAGAAAGAGAACAGTTCTATCTGCCCCAAGTGAATACCAGTGCGGTCACCGTATCGACAGGAACTGAGGACAGTCCTCCACATAAACACAACAATTTCCGAGCCACCAACCTTTACATGTTATGAACAAAGGCAGTAAACTGTCTTTCCAGGATACTCCTCCTCGCTACCTGGACTTGAGCTCACGAGTCTAATACAGCACATTACTCTTCTCCAACCACATGGGTTTCTGTCCCCTAAGTCATCACAGACTCCTCTGAAGCAGACAAGCCTGACAACACCAGGTAGAGCAAAGGCTCTGCAGGGGGACAGCCAGACACCAGCACTGACAGAGAGCAAGCACATAAGACGGTGCCCTGCCCGCGCCCCACAACTCGGGTCTGGGGACTGCTGAAGACAGGCCCGTGCAGCCACTGTGAAGCCACCACGGGTTGTTTCAACCTCGGCCTCACTTTCATTTGTGCTGTTGTTTGAAGCTGGTGAGTGCCCAAGGGCCCAGGTGCTGAAGTCTGGTCCCAGGGGTGGCACTGCAGGGGGACCCATGGGGGGATCTAGCACACTGCCCCTCCACTCTGGCTTCCTGCTAGAGCCATACCAGCCATCAGGCACATGCTCCAGCCAGTGCCATCCACCATGTGACGCCATCCCAGAGTCAGTGCTGCAGATCCTGCTGGGGTGGTGGCTCAGAAGTAGAGCACTCGCCTAGCACATGAGAGGAACTGGGCTCGATCCTCTGCCCCAGATTAAAAGAGAAATAATTTTTTAAAAAATGATCCTGGGGCTGGGGAAAAATATTAAAAATTAAAAAAAAAAAAGATCCTGTATCTTTAAATCTCCAAGTGTGAGCTGAATAACCCCCCCCCCTTTTTTTGTAAAGTTCTCTCTCTTGTTGTGGTAATGAAAAACAGACTGACACAGTGTGGCAGAGTTGTCAGATGTAAGGTCAACACTGAATAACTAGACAGTCTTTCTATTTATTTGCAGGTTTAAAAAATGAGTTATGTAATGGAAATCATAACGGAAAACACATAAGTTTTTGAAAGATATACAAGATGGCTACCAAAGCAGGAAACATGAACAAAGAGTTCTAGGAGAGCTTAATAAACGGGGATTGTATTCCATTCATAAGATTGAAAACATCAATCTCCTCAAACTGAATCTGTAGATTCAATGCAACCTCAGTCAAGATCCCAGCAAGTTTTCCCATTTAAATCTGACAAGATGATTCTAAAAGATACAAGAAAATGCAAATGACCAAGAGCAGCCAGGGCACTTTTTTTTTTTTTTTTTTAAGAGAGAGTGAGAGAGGAGAGAGAGAGAATTTTTTTTTAAATATTTATTTATTTATTTATAGTTCTCGGCGGACACAACATCTTTGTTGGTATGTGGTGCTGAGGATCGAACCCGGGCCGCACGCATGCCAGGCGAGCGCGCTACTGCTTGAGCCACATCCCCAGGCCCCAGCCAGGGCACTTTAAAGAGAAGGAAACACTGCCTGCCTGCCCACCACCGACCCCCTGCCCACCCCACCCCACCACAACCCCCACCCTGCCCAGGCTTCCTCTAAAGCTCAAGTCTCAATAGGTGGTGGTACCCGCAGGAGTTAAAGTGCCCGAGGGAACAGAAGCAGACCCTTCCCAACAGCCCCTTGACTCAATCCCAAAGCAGCCTAGGGTCGTGCCTGGACCTCAGTGTCCCAGCCTCCAGAAGTATGAAGACCAATGTTCCTGAGTAAGCTCTCTGACCCAGCAGACTGAGYGACCATAGCAAACAGGCACAGAAAAAGATATTAACACTGTGGGCCATGAGGCAAAGCAGATTAAAACCACAATGGGGTACAGCACAGTCTCTTTAGTGTCATAAATATCTCCATTTTGCCAAAACAGCTAAAATTGAAAAAAACCAACAATACTAAGTACTGGCAAGTTTAGTAGCTGGATGTCATGTGCAGGGAATGTGAAGAGCTGGCGTAGCTCTGGGGAACAGTCTGCTTCTGGTGAAGCTCAGTTAAGACCCCCAATTCTCCTGTGCCACGTGTCCCCATAAGCTTATGTGAAAGTTCACAGCAGCTCTATTCCCACCAGCCCCCAAATGATACTCCTCAAATATCCACTGGCTGGTAAATGAGCAAAAGAATGGCACATCCAAATGACAAAACATCACACAGCAAGGACGACAAACAGGCCACCAACACAAAAAACACAGACACCTCGCAAAAGCACTAAGTAAAAGAAGTGGGACACAAAAGACTGTRTTCTATTTATATGAAATTCTAGCAAAAGCAAAGTACAGCAGCACAGGGCGAGCACCCCTATCAAACATGCCTGGGCTCAGCCAACACCTGCTCAGCTCTGGATTCTGGAGCATCTAGGACTCCAGATTTCTGAATTATGGGTGCTCTACCTGTTGTAAAAACCAAAGCCAATGTTGCCAGAGAACAGAGAGAAGGGAAGGGATGGCAAAAGAGCACAAAGGGGCATTAGGGGGCAACAGAGTATTCTACAGTGTGACTGTAATGATGACTATATATTGAATTATGTATTCAAACCCAACATTTTATTATGCATCAATTTTATCTCAATAAAGCTGCCCACAAAATTAATTTGTTGTTTTGTGAAATTTAAAACAACAAATCTCAGGATGATAATGCAGAGCTTCTTCATGCTCTTTGCACAGACTTCTTCACAGGACCAACAGTAAAGTTGACACCAGGAASAGCAGCCATAAGAGGAAGAATGAGCACAACAAACACCCCTGCCCAGGACGGTGGTGGGGGGGGTTGTGGCTCAGCCGTGGAGCGCTCGCCTAACGTGTGAGTTCCACCCTCAACACCACATATAAATAAAACAAAGGTACTGTGCCCATCTACAACTAAAAATATATTTTGAAAAAAGTCCCTGCCAAGCACTTCTGACATCAGAAGACACCTTAAGGAAAACGAAAAGGCAAGTCCCAGAGAGGAAGAGATTTGTAACAGATATGACCAACAAAAGGCAGTGTCCAGAATGTTTCAAGAATGCCTTACAAACACTTACAGATATGAACAACCCAAACCCAACACAGTGGCACACGCCTAAAATCCCAGTGATTTGGAAGGCTAAGGCAGGAGGATCGCAAGTTTGAGGCCAATCTCAGCAATTAGGGAGGCCCTAAGTTGCTTAAATTTAGCGAGATTTTGTCTCAAAATAAAATGAAAAGGMAAAGGACTGGAGATGTGGCTCAGTGGTAAAGCACTCCAAGTTCAAAAACAACCCAAAAGAAAAAAGAAGCAAGACTTGAACTAGCACTTCACCAAAAAAAGAAAGAAAAAAAAAAGTGTGTGGCCTGGACACACAGCAAGGAGCATGGCACATTAACCTGGAGAAATGCCAACTGAAACCACAGGACAGCCATGGCACCACCAGAAGCACCAACTGCCAAAGCGAAGACTGAGCGAACGCCGTGGGCAGGGGTGAAGAGTGCCCCGCCAGCCTCGGCCTTCAGCAGCAGTGAGAGCACGCTCCAGCCACAGCTCCAAGAGGCCCCACAGCAGGTTACTCCAAGGCAGAAGACGGAAACAGCACCCAGACACCTATCATGAGGGATCGGCACACTGTGGTCTTCATACCATGGGACAAGGATGAAAATAAACGACCCACAACTGCCCACAGTGTTGTTGCCAAGTGAAGCCAGACCCCTGGTACACAACACACAAGTACAGACATTCCAAAACACAAGCAAAAAGCCACACTGTCCAAGAATGCAAAGGGACAGGAGGAGGCGACAGCTGCCCTGGGATGGCACAACACTTCCTATCTGCAGCAGGCCCCTTCTCTTCTGKGCAGGGGCTGAGGCTGGCAGTGGCTCCTGAGCAGGGACTCTTCCCTGAACTCCTCTCCTTCACACTAATGCAGCTGTAAAAGCTGTACCCGAACCAGCCAGGAAGAGAGGAGAGAGGCGACAGGCAGGGGGGCAGGGTTGCTGATGAGGTGGGCACAGCCTCTGAAAAGACAGCCTAGTCCCAGGTGGGAGGRCCGGGGGAAGTGGGGAAGGCAAGGGCAGGGAGCCAGGTGCTCCCCTTTAAAAGCTTCATGCTAGCATGTCCAGTAACAGCAAGGGAGACAGTGGGCAGCTGCCTGGGGAAAGACGGGTAGAGACGTCAATTGGGCTATTTCACACAGGACATGCGTGACCCCAGGGCACAGCAGGGGACCCTCGGAGCAGTGTTTCCCARGAAGCATCTGGAAATAGGTGACATTACAGATTTCACAAGAACAGAGAAATGATCTTGCAGCATAGTACAAAGGGGCCAGCAGTGCTCAACACCTGGCACAGCAAGGCCTGCAGCAGAGAAAACTGACACAAAATGCCAGCAACAGCGCTGATCCAGGGAACAAGTAGAGGGCAGAGGATAGCCCAGRGCTATACTGAGCCCGAGAAGGAGAAAGACAGCTGGAGACATCAAGCAGAGGCCAGCCAAGTAAAGCAAAGAGCAATATCCTGAAGTCCAGTGCCTTGAAGACGTCAAGGAGGGAGAAGCAAATGTAGGAGGGTCTAGCACCAAGAAAGCAGSACACACTTCCACCATGGCTGCACCTTCTCGCAGGGAGCAAAATGGCAGAGAACATCGCACCCCACACTCAGCTTCCCAYGCCCAGTCACCAGAATTCTAGCCCAGTTTGTGTCTACAACCAAGTCACCTGATAAGAACAAGTAATGAATTAAGGCATGTGCATTTTGAATTGCTGAGGTGGTGGAGGTGGGGAAGCAGGGCACCTCAGAGCACAGCCCTAGGGACCACGCAGACAGACAGGAGCCACACCCACACCAGTGGCAGACCCGCTGGTGCCAGGAAAAAACGCGGCAGAGCTCTTCCAGTTGTGGTGGTGTAACCACGAGGGGGTACCTACACCAAGAGGCCTTGCTTCGTTTTGG